TCCTCCTGCCTCCCGGGAGTGCCGAGCGCCGCAGCCCGGGCCCAGGCCCCGGCAGCGCCTGGGACAAGGTAAGGGTCCGACAGAAAAGAGGGACCTACCCTCCCTCACACCGGGCCCCGGGGGAGGGAAGGGTCACCTCCTCCGTCTCCCCGCGCTCGCTTTCGGGACTTGGGCCTGGCCCTCCCAGGCTCTTAGCAGGAGGATGCTGCCCCTTCTCACCCCCCTCGTCACCCCCCTGGACACCATCGCATTCCTCTTCCCCGGGGAGAGAGGTCCCCTTCGTCATCCAGTCGACCCCACTACCCTTTTCATGTCTTTCCTGGGTCAGGACGCTTCCCCTCCCCCCACGTCTCTTCACCCCCTTTTCCTGGGAACTGCCTAGTCCACGTTTACCTTTGACTTGAGGCTAGGCCTCTCGCTGTCCTCTTAACATACACAGGCATACTTTTCCCCCCTCCCCAAATCCCCGCCCCAACCACCCCGGTTCGTGCGGCCTGGTGACAACTCTGATGGTTCTGGGGGCCTGTGTCTCTTCATCACGTTCCTGGACGCCTTTCCCCTCGTCCTCGGGTCCCCATCCCAGATGATTGCTTCCTTTCCCACACCAACGGCATTGCCTTCGCCAGCCCCACCTCACATTTTGGGGTTCTCGGTGGCTTCTACCCCAGTATCTCCGAGAGAGTCCTATTCTTGAATCGGTCGGGTTTGAGCTTGGAGTTGAGCCAGGCTGTGTCGTTCTCCCAGCCTTGGGCGTGGAGAGCGATCCTTTGAGAAGGTCTTTAAAGGCAGAAAAATGTACCCTTGATGAATCCCCATTCCCCCTGCGTGGGAGCTAAGGGATGCGAAGGGAATGACGGTGAGAAAAAAAAGCCATGGTGAATCGCGTGAGAGGGAAAGTTTAGCTGTTGGGAAAGCCCCCTCCATGCTAATGTATTCTATGGAGCTCTTTTGCGTATCACTTGTTAGGAATAACTGATCTTTCCCTTGGATACGGATGCTGCAGCCAGCCCTGCTGGTCTGGGTCAGGGGTGCATGTATGACCTGCATTTTCTGCTTTCTCATGTTACTTGTGCAATGTGTTCACCAGTAACTCGTTTCGTGCCCAGATCTCCGGGTTCCATTGAGCTTTGTCTCTATTTTAGTTCATTTCTCCCTTTTCCTCCCTTGCTCATAGTACTGAAAGAATCCCCAGGTTCTCTGCTAATGCCTTTTCATCATTTGACTAAAGGAGATGCTTATAAATGACTTTTAACCAAGACCATACTTAGATTTTTGTTGTTGTTGTTGGGCAGATCCAACAAAAAACTTTTGGTTGGGGAGGATCCAGCTGAGTTGAGCATTTATGAGCTTTTCGGGAGAATGTTTGTGTACCCCCTATTTGGGAAAATTTCTTGGTGGTTAATTTTATATCACTGATGCTTTTAGATCACTCAGGAAAAAAAGTTGTAAGTTGTAATTTTAGATGTGTGGAATCTGAGCTAGGACTAAAGCAAAGAATATTCACATATTCTGGGCCTCTTGAAGAACACAGGAAATTTTTTTTTATTGGATTTCTTCCAGTTTTCTCAGGTGGATCATTCGTTTTCTTCTATAGCCAAAAATTCTGGTCAGTTATGGAATTAGAGTTTTTAAGGTTTACTCAGACTGTCATGAAGATTCAGAAATGAATTATGGCCTTTGGGGGGGCATGACACAAGTCTCTATCTCTAGCTGCAAATTTAAATTTGACTGTAAAGAGAGTCCTTGGAAAATTGGCCTTTTAAAGACTAAAGCTTAATCTTCACTCCTAAATTGCTGGCTTAATTAAAATGGATATCTGGAATTTGGTAAATAGTGGTTTTTCTAATAAAAGGCCCTTAGTTTAAAACTAAAAGGATTTAGGGTGTTTCTTTCTCAAAGCATAATTCCAGCTCTTCTGGCATGGAACATTGGTCCAAAAAAAAGTGTGTAAGGGGTGGGGGTGGGGTAAGAAAAAGGTTGTTCTTTGGGTTGGATCACAGGACTGAGTATACAAGGCAGCAGCAGCTGCTGGCTCTGGAACTCTGGTTGCTACGTGAGAAGCTTGAGTAGTGCTGGCTGCCGTCTCCAGGGAAGGACAGCAGTGCAGCCTCCATTAATGCTGTTGGCTGCAGGGAGCTCCACTTAGGCAATAGCTGCTTCAGGACTAAGAAGAAACCTTGCTTTCCTGGGAATTTTCATTGCTGAGCTGGTTTTCATTTTATTGGTGGGGAGATGAGAATTCATAACCTTCTACCCATTTATGGATATTAGCAACATCTAGAAACTGGATCATAGTTAGAGTTTTTCTTTTTTGTTTGTTTCTTGGGGGGTTTTGGCAGATTTTTGGTTTTTATCTGTAGATTTGTGCTTTAATAGGACTGAAAGTTTCATTAGAGTTTTAATATTTCAATCAATTTCATATTTTGTGTGTCTCCTTTTTTTTCATTTGTTAGGCCATATTTACCTTGTTGAATAGATGTTTTGATAAACATTTTACTAAATTTGTAATCTTAAACTCTAAAAAGAAGCGCCCTTTTCAAAATGACTTGTAAATATAAATCTTTGAAGTATTTTCTTAATTTCTGTATCAGTAATAGAATTCTGCAAATTGAGTTATTTCTTTGGAGTTTGACCTATAAAATGAATTCATTACATGCATACTGGAGGTAGTCTTCTAAGACCACAAGGATGTATGTTTGGCCATGATCCATCTGAGACATAGGACAGCCCAGAAAGAATATTCAGAAATCGAATAAATAGTATACAGGATACTTGAGAAGATGGCCTCTTATGTGGTTTCCCCTCCCCCACAGCTCCTGCACATTAGGAAAATCTTTGATTAAACAGAACAGTTTATTGCGTATGGAAGTACTTGAAGGAGAGGCACCATTCAAATATACCACCAATTTTATACAGTTCTTAACAGTTGGGTTGTCTCTTCCCCACCCCACAAGGTGCTTGCATGCTATATTTTTTCCCCTCAAAATTTTGTATGTTTAGCTTTGTGTAAATGTACTTAAATTTAAATCTATAATGTATAGCATGACTGTGGCATTTGTGGCAGGGAACCAAAAGAACGGAAATGAGTCGTGTCATTCACAAATGTGGCTTGTGTTGTCTCAGTGATATGCACTGACTAATGAAACGGAACTTTTCATGGATAATATTTTTAGGTGGTTTTAATGTTATCACTATCATATATAAAAGATGCCATATCAAATAAATATGGTTTCACTCATAGTGGTTATTTAACATTTTAGATATGTTTTTTAGCTTAAGTTATATGTTAATGTTACCTTATAAAATAATCACTTTTTTCACTTGTGTTTCCTGTTTGGAATCCATCGTGATCTTAATGTGATTATTTTCTGAAATATCATAGAGGCCTTTTTCATAGGATTTATTTAATCAATATGCTTGAAAATTTTTGTATCTTCTGATACTGTTTTGTGTCCAGGAACTTACCTGCTTTCTGAAGTTATTCTGGCCTTTCTGGGGGTGACTGGTTATTTACTTTTGCCTTTGGATAGGAAAATAACATAGGGCAAAATGCAGATGTGCAGACAACCACTTTTATTTTGTCCTCTTCGTATTGAAATAACTTACGAAACATTAGGCCATAGTTAAGGATATTCCGTGGTTATTAGGTACATACTATCAATGAGAAATTGGATCATAAATAGAATATAATTTTCTTATAACTTCTAATTCCATTCTGATGATTTGTCAGTTTAATTTGAAACTAAAAGGCCTCGCAGTGAATTTTGTTTATAAAAAATGTTTCAGGTATTGGAAACTAAAGCTTGATAGGAATATTTTAAGACAAAACTTACTCTGACTGCAAAATGTGTGAGATAATGTATATTTTAATACAAGTGATTGCTATTTGTAATTTGATTTAAAACATCCTTTTATGGGCTTAAAAAGTATGATAGACAGTAATTGGTACCGTTATTTTACAGCTGAAATTTCAAAAATACGTGGTAAAATGGCATTTTTAACCTTTCATTTGATTCAGTGATTGATGTACCTTGTAAAGATTTGGGGAAGTTCATGAAAGATGAGAGAATATAATTTCTTTCACTTATCAATACATATTTTGTTAAACCAGAGTCTTATGAAAAGTATCCTGTTATGTATTTATCTAAATCGAGTAAAAGATACCCAGTAACTTGGGGGAGGGAGAAGCTGTTAGAAAACCTCACTTTAGAGAATTCTTTTATTCTGACTAAATATATTCAGACTCTTTAACACTTTATGAAGCAAATTTGAAATATAACAAAGGAACAATGAAGCTAAATCTCGGTCTACTTTATACTAACCCTCACTGAGCAAGGAATTTGTAATCCCATCCTGCCTCTCAGTTTTTGCACCATATTGATTTTGTTTGCTGAATACCTCAGGGAGAGATGTAAGGATCACATTAACTATCTTTGATATAAAGACAGGGGAAAGGAATTTTCTGCTTATTGGAATGAGATCTTAGTATTTTTTAAAAACGAAGGTTATTTGGCCAGGTTTGCCTCATGCATTCGACTGTTGGTTTGGTCTGACTGCTTTCTCTTCTGTGCTCTTCCTTTCTTCATAGCATGAGAATTCTCAGAGTTTTGGTGGCAAACTAAAGTAATAAGAATCATTTTCTTAGTCATGTTAGTTATGTATATACACCCAAAGCTGGGAATACTCCTTGACCTATGTTATGAATCACACACAAAAAAGCAAAGGACATAGGAATTTATACAGAATTTGTTTCTATCTGGGAAATCAAGTTTTTGTTGTGCTACCTAATTGAGGGAAAATGCCAAATTCCTAGCTGCTCTGTTTTAAAAAAGATGAAAACATGGGAGGAGCTTGAGACCTCTGCATCAGGATTTGGTTTGAGTAGAAAGGAAGATTTTTGTTTCAAATTGCCAGCTGCTTATGTCATACTGACTCCCTTATTATGCCTTTAGTTGGCCTGTCAATATGGCCAAACAGCTAGATAAGTGTGGGGCAGGACAAAGGGCTCTTTGCACAGCAGGGAGGCAATGTTGGTGGGGGAGGGGTGGGAGGTAGGAAAGACAGGAGG